CTTCTCGGTAGACTCAATGGGCCCTGGTGGGAACTTTGTTGTGTGAGCTGTGCTGTGCTTAGCTCCCTCCCACTCACAGCAATGTTTGGATGTGAAAAGATCAGCAAACCAGTTGAATTCTCTGTGTCTAAAGACTTAAACAGCGGAATTGGCTGTTTCAGTCCTTTCTGACTGTGCTGCAGAGTGGGCCCCAGTCTCAGCCCAGTTCACATTGTGTTGTGGGTTCATTGCATGAACCTGTCTCTTGAAGGCATTCTTCCCTGTGAGCAGTCTTGCTCTATAATCTATTATCCTGCCACAGACCTGCCAGAGTAGGGTTCGTCCATCTTTTCCCCACCTTCCCTGCTGTGTTTTACAGGTCAAATGTGATAAGGATCCCACTTGACACACACTTCCCTTCTTATCCTGCAAGCATGTCAGCAAATGTAGAAGGAGAGACCAAAGTTGCAGGCTCACAGAAGTTTATTGCCCCTAATAATTAGCAGGTGCTTGCTTGTCAGTGAGAATGGTAGAGAGAAAAAGGTTCCTTTTGCTTTTTATAGGAGGATGGAGAAAATGAGTGTGCATGGGGGTAAAGGTGAAAGGGTAAGGCACAGTCCTGTCAGTTCATCACTGGGGTAGGAGTTCTGGGGGCACAGCATTACATTAACTATCATTTATGTTGACAAATCTATCCACCATCCATTTTCTAACATTTTCATCCAATTCAGGGTCACAGGTTAGCCAGAGTCTATCCTGGCAAGCTGCAGTCACAAAATAGGATACACCTTGGGTGGAATGCCAATCCATCAATGGACAGGCAGACTCAAACAATCACACGCTCATAACAGGGACAATTAACCTACCAGTATGTCTTTACACTGCAGGAGGAAACCCATGTGAACACAGAGAGAACATATAATACAGATAGTACTCAAGGTCCACGATCAGGGCCAAAGCACTGCAGTGCAGCAATATTAACCACTGTGTTCCTATGCAGCCCCCATGCTGACAAATATCCTTTGTATTATTTTGCTGAGTGCAAAATGACAGCTGGGACTCGGAGCTTATCCGTGGTTTAGCTTACTTTGTTAGGACTTTATGAGCAGAATTTTGATTGGCAACAGTTTCTTTAGGCTCAGCTCTTTTGTGGTACAGAGGACTAAGGTGGACAGCAGTGCCTGCACAAGATTAAGTTGCTGTCAAGTTACCTGGACCTAAGAGAATGATGCAAAAGTTGTCCAACAAATTTTAGGTCACATCGGCACTAGCGGTGGTGATTTGTGGTGAAGTCATCAGATGTAGTGTGAAACTTTGTGGCATGGTTCTCATTGGTAACAATGGCCCTGTCAGTGGATTTATGACTAGTGACCATCCAGATGTGCATTCCTCCTGGAACTGCAGACTGAGAGGCGTCTATCTGGCATTGTATCACTGGCCGTGTTAGGATGGACCCAATTTATGACGGGCTGGTTTGGTTGGTGGAATGCTAGGCTGCCCGTGTTATCAGAGCCCTATCTCAGACATTCCTCAGGAGCTGACTGAGAGGAGTTGACCAGTTCCTAGGTTTATTTCCAAAGCAAGAGAAACTAAAATAATAATTGAATAAACTTTCTTGAACGCTAAATTCTAGTCCTGCACAAAGATTTACTGCTAAAGTTTCTTCCTTTGCTCTTCAGCTATTTACAGCAGCTAAAATAACACATATTGTAATTTTAGCTTTGAAATGGATATAACTTTAAGCATCTGTTCTTGCCTGTATACAGTACATATTATTTACTATTTTAATAAAACACTAAAGTAACTAAATAAGCATCATATCCGGAAACATTAAAATAGGCCCCAATGTGTTATTCTGTACAAAATTCTATAACTTACATTTCCATAACTTATATACTTTAACTGCCAATCATGTTTCAAATAACATAGTTTATGGCTTAAAACCAACATAACCTCAGTTTTTATTTATTACATCCAGGGAGGTATTCTTATTGCTTACATCCTGTACATTCTTTAAGCCTGTCAATCAAAATTAGGATTACAATGCAGGGTTAAGTGTAATTTTTAACACTATATTGATTTTTTCAAAAGCTTATTATTTTAGAGCGAGCATGACTTTCCTGGCGGGCTCAGAATTAGTGGTCTTGTTTTACACCTCACTCTGAAAATGTTTTTCATAACTGGCGCAGTACTGTAAATTGTTGGAACTGATAAGAGAGTTTATTTTCCATAATACGTTTTATCTTCTGTTAACAGTGCTGGTGCCCCTAGGTATCTTACACACCACTCATGCAGGAAGACCCCACTTGCTATTCTCCTTCAAGCATAGAAGAAATATTTGACACATGTTAATGTTGTAAGTGCAGCCTTAAATTCCTTTAAACAGCAATTTAGAAAATGACCATTGTATTCTAGCGACATCCTTTTAAAATGTTACTGAAGTTACCAGAGACGCAAGAGAGGCAAGACAGGCACCACTTCTTCGACACATCTAATGTAAATGAGCTCATTAACCAGACAGTGTCTTATTGTTCTGAGGATCTCATCCAGCAGCTCATTTGACATCATGACTGGGTGGCTTGTTTCAGACTTAGGTGTAATTGTTTTACAAATTGAGAGTCCTTAATGTGACAGTGGCTTAGTAGTGGCAAATAACCAGCAACTTTCACCAAGTAGTGGCTCAGGGAGGTGAATACTTACCTAATCAACAATAACACATGACATGATGTTCAATCAACTAGGGGGTGTCAGTTAATGAGAAAAAATGTAAAAGCATTTTAATGACACATAACCATGAGCTTTTTAAAGTGACTGTATTTTCTTGCAATTTGCGAAAAGTGAACAAACTGTTTGCCATACGTGGTACGTAAACATGAGCTCCATCTTGTGGAGAAAAGTAAACTGAAACGCAATACAGGTACAGTAGATATTTATGTTGTGCAACTAAATAATAATATTATGCATGTAAGTGAAAGGGATATTCCAGCACATCTAATGTAAATCACACTTGTCCTCAGGTGATTAGTTTGTCAGAACAAAAATAACATTCTGTTTAGCCACAGACATACAGAAAGAAAACACACATAAGAAATTATCTTCACAATCTCTTGAACGGTTTGTGGTCAAAATATACATCTTTTAAGCCATTAATAGTAATGCATAGACACATCAAGGTTTTGTGTGTGTGTTCAAGTCTTTGTTTCAAGACAGACATCAAATTGCTGAAGCTGGGAAAGAACTAAAATTCTTGTATCTGAACAAATGAAGCCAATGTAGAGAGAAATGCATCACAAAATCATAGCTGGTAAACTATTTATGAAAAGACTAAATACACACAATATATTTAAGGTATTGCAGATGATGGTTCTACATAATTTGATTTGAGCATTTGCATGATGCAGGACACCCTTGAAAAATCTCTTCATTGGAACAGCCCACTTCTTCTTTCAATGGCGCACAGTTTCTGTATTTATCAACGTAAGGACAAGCATTTGCTTCAAGACAACAGAAAAAAAAAACATGTTTAAGGTATTGAATTTAAAGTCTTTTTTTTCTTTTCTCAAGGGTCACTATTATTAATGTTGTGCTGAACATCTTCTGTATAATAACAGTTGCATTTTATGATAAATTAAGCTTTTTTGTAACTTAAAACAATCAAAGAAGAACAATAAAAAAGATGGTTTTAACTTACTGCATAACTTCTCTTCACAGGAATGGGGACAGTCTTTGCATGGTGGACCAGATTTGTAGGGAGCAAACAAAGAGTCTTGATAGTTCCCGCTGTGTGGAAAGTCAAAACTCCATGAATGGATGCCTGTTTGTAAATGTAACACTTTTTATATATGTTTTAATGTTCCCTGTCTGCATAAACTGCAGACATACAGTATTTATACATATTTTCCCTTTTGTGTTCTCAATATATGGCTTTTAAATTTTCACAGGTGCCTTTCAGGAAAAACAAATAGGGGTCATTGCACTATATTCTAATATGAATGTAATAGAATTGTCATATAAATGAAAGTATTTACAAATGCTTTAAGCTGCATCTTCTGCGTCTTTTTTTTTTCTCCAACATTAACATACACACGTACTGTGTAATCTGAATTGTACATTCAGATTCTGCTGTTTTTGAAGGAAATGTGTATGTGACATACATCATTTCTATTTCAATCCATTCATTTTCTAACCCCTTTCTGCAGTACAGGGTTGTGGGGGGGGTTGGGGAGCCAGAACTTAATCTGGCAAGCAAGGCATAAGGCAGGACACACCCTGTACATGATGTCCAACCATTGTAGTTCCATTTCTAATGTGTTTCTCTGTTATTGTACGTAGCTGGAATGTCTACCAGTCCTCTGTGTGGGTCTAGTCTTGTGCGTTTAGGTGTCACAGTACAACTTGCCAGCTGCCAGCACACCTCTTACCTCAATAACGAACTGGTTACTACAGGTGGCAGCTTTGAACTGGCAGCTGACTTCACAGACGTATGGAATATGAATCTCTAGGCAGTGTGGTGCAGGGGAACACTTGGAAAATGATGTCCCAGATTTATCTTTTGCATAAACCGTCCCATCCTTTTTAAAAGAGCCGGATGGATAAAACAAAAAAAGAAGATAATTTTCAATGTCTGACATTTACCGTGCAAATTTAACAAGAAGCTAAAGTGTTCCTCGGGTAGACTGAAAGGATGTACTGTACAAGTGCAAACGAGTGCAATTTCAGGAACCTGCACACACAGTAGATATCAACTATAGTTATAATTAATAACAACCAGATAGGATGATAGGGTGGCACCATTGTTAGCAATGGTTATTTTTAGCACCTTACAGCGCTGGGGCTCTGCTTTCAATTCCTGGGGTGCTACCTGTGTGGAGTGTGTATGCTCACCCCCGGTTCACATGGGTTTCCTCCAGGTGCTCTGGTTTCCTCATGTAGTCCAAAGACATGCTGGTAGGTTAGTTGGCTGCTGTAACATTGTGCCCGGCATGAGTGTTGTGTGTGCCCTGTAATGGACTGAAATCCTGTACAAGGTGTATTCTGACTTGTGCCCAGTGCTTCCCAGGATAGGCTCTGGCACCCCCACAAACCTGTATTGTTTAAGTGGTTAACAAAAGTGATGTTATGTGACTAGATATATTAGAATTCATTGTATTTATGTATTACGCCTTTTATCGTAATACACCTACTGTACTGAGGTATATAACGCTGGGTGACTTTCAATAGAGGGAAACCCTGATAGTGCTGTTTGGCCAGGACACAGACATTAACTCTCCAATGCTTACGAGAGGTGTCATGGAATTTTCCATGACCACGGAGACAGGACAATGTAAGGACAGTGCCCCCCTGTGACAGGACTGTGGCATTGGTTTGGAAAGTCTGGAAGGAGCAGGGCCACCCACTGGCCTACCGACAGAACCTACACCAACAAATCTGGATTTCCTTTCCTTTCTCTCTCATCCCAGGACTGACCAAGCACAGGTTGGCTTAACTTGTAAGATCTGGCTAGAAGGTGGTAACACTTCTGTTTTAACCCAGTCTTAAGGAAAAATTAACAATGCACATTTCTACCACCCAACACTCTTTGCCACTGTATTTCTTTACCAACATAACAAAAGAACATAAGAACAGGAGAAGAAGCCATTTTTGTCCATCTTGCTTTGGTTGCTATTTACTAATTTTTAGGGAAATCTTATCCTTGAAGAATGAAGAATTAAAAGACCTGTTTTTTTCCAAGGCAATACTATTGTACAGTATATGCTGTTTAAAGGATCATACAAGGAGATAGAATATTCTAACAAGTAGACAGAATATTCTATTTGTACATATAAACCACCCCCAAGTGTCTCCAGATTTTCATTCTGATTTTGTGATCTTCTTATCTTCTAATACACATTTGCATAATAAATAACTTATCAATACTATATAATGTTTTCTATATGAATAGGTCATTTTTTGGCCGTTTACACAATATCTATTTTTAATTCAAAATCTGGATCCTGAACGTCTTTGTCCTTGTTAGCAATAATTGTCTTTCTAATGATCCACCATTCAATACTGTATACTGTATTATACACTCAAGAACTATATAGTATGTATAATTTTAAACTTTGTCAATGTAAATTATAATACTAATGGTGCATTGACATTAATTACATTTTGTTATTTTAAGATGACATATCTTTCCTCAGATTAATGGACATACAATAGAAATACATCCAATATTTTTAATAGAAAAGGAGTTGATTTTGGTATTTGTGATATAAATAAACACTTGATATTCTGTTTTACCCAGGAATGAGGCTGAAACAATAGAGTACTTACGGAGGGCAGTAATGGCAAACATAAAAATATGCATATTTGGCTTCAGAACAATGAGCAACTGCACAGCCGATCTTGTTGGACCTGTACCACACAATCTAATAGGAAGAGGGAAAAAGCAAAATGTAAGTTTTCCATATTATTTTCTATATACTGTACTGTATACTGTATATGAACAGTGTGAAAAGCCTATGTTGGCATATCTTTAAGCTTTTAATCTTTAAGCTTCCCATCACTTTAGTGAAGGTTTATCTTGGTCTCATCTGAATATAAAATATTGTAGTAAAAAAAAGTATTGTAACAAAACTGTCCTCCTCAAAGAGACATATTTTAAAGCACGGTGCAGGTAGTGTCATGGGCTGGACATACATGGTTATCTCTGGAAGCGGCTTACTTGTCATTATGTAATTAATGATGGCAACAGAACCAATTCTGAAGTTTACAGAAACAGTTTACCTGCTTATGTCCTGTACAAGAAAGTGCTTCCAGACTTACTAGATGGTCCTTTACCATGCAGATAAAATGTAATTTCCATATTATCTCCTATATACTGCATGCCGTATGGACACCACCAACTGAAACATACAGTATGGCTGTTGCAACCATAGAATTAATCAGGAGAGGAATGGTGGTAAGGAGTCAGTCAAAGTCAATAGATAGTCGAAGTCTGAATGCCCATGAAAAAAAGAAAAAATTCAAAGTGGATGAGTGATTACAGAATCATGCAGAATCTGGAATATCACCAACCAATGAACCAATCAATCAACCAACCAACAGACCAGTGGATTGATCAAAATATGACAAGCAGTCAGCATTATCTATCACAGAGAAGAGAATACAATAGAACAGCAGGCTTCTGTTTTGCAATTGAAGTCTTTAACATAAGTACTCTCCTAATTTGGATTTTAAGACAAAGCTGTAACTCACCAAATATTTTTTCCATTCATGTTAAAATGTAGCTGGTCTGTCAGAAGTACTGCATAGCTGCTGTACCAAGTCAGAAACTGAATGTTATTCAGCTTCTGGTCATTTCTAAAATTGAAGGATTTTGCTCCGAGTCTGCTCTCCCTTTGTATTGTACAATAGCGTGCGGATGTTTGTTGTATATGCTTTAGATAATTGTCATTGGGTTTCTGGCTTTGTGTGTCTTTCAGGAGAATCCAAGAGCAGTAACCCACTGAAGGCTTGGAAAGAGTCAGAGGCAGAAGCCAAGATAGCCGAAGCAGTTGAGTGCACAGAGACTTGTGGAGAATGCCAAAGGATGATGGAGACAGGAGGTGACTACAGCAGGAAGATGGAGATCGGGAACAGACTGGAGTGGGAGGCAATTACAGCTATCAGGGTAGATGCAAACAGGGTGGCTGCACCACCGAGTGGGATTATTAGCAGGGAACTGTGCCACTGGGCAGAGTATCTTTCTGAGATGCTGCTTAGTATTGCTGAGTGCACTACCATTTTATGAGGTATCTCAATGACAGAGTACTACATCAGTGGAAGACAAAGGTTTAAGTATTCTGGGTTTGAAAGATAAAGCACCCATTAATTGGATGAAAGGGGCCGGGACAATAGACTGAATCTGAAGTCCAAACTGCCCCTTTACAGAGGAAACGTGTGTGCTTGGAATTTGCACTTTCTTATTTTACATATTTGTATTGTAGTTTGTGTTAATTGGCATTAAAGCAAACAAAAGTCTATCATTCCTACCTGGGTGTAATGTCCAGTGAAGCTATCATCTTTGCTCCCGACTCCATACTTGAAATTGTGGACTTCATCATTCCACATCTGAATGACTTCCTCCCAAGATATAGGATTTAGGGACACAACCGTGTTCTCACCACATGGACTCTCTGTGTTTGCTTAATAAATCAATTAGTAAAAAGAAATAAAATGAACATTAAGAAGGGAAATGTCACCACCACCTTGTATTTGACTATCAAAAAACAAAAGTTTTTTTATGCATTAATTTAAAAAAACAAATGGGATGTTGTTTTCAAACATGTCTGTGTGTAGGAAACAACTAACAAGCAACTTTCTGGATTCTATTTGGCTTGCATTTTTCCAATCTGAAGAAGGTTTGGATCACTGTGTGTTTCGGAAGGGATAGCTCTAATTAATAATCTGGCAAAAGTTATAGATAACACAATTTTCTACTGAATCTGTGACAAACAGTAATGTTACACTAACCTAAATTCAGATTATTTATAATATAATAATAGACACAGGTGTTGTGAGAGTGCAAAATCACTCTCAGTAGCAAACGTCCAATAAGTGATGATAACATTCCTTGGACTATATAAGTCCATGTGAAAATCCTATGCAATGCGCACAATTTATTTGTCTTTGGCCAATGGAAGAATGGTTTTCAGTGCATAACTGAGCCCATCTTTCAGAATTCTCAGCAGCTTCTTGATTCCACTCCTAAGATAAGAAAAATACATTAACATGCATGCAGCTAGAAATGTCTACTAATCCCCTGTGTTTTGGGTCTTACTTACATATACAGTACGTATTAAAATTATTAGATGGATCACACTAGTCACTGAAGTCACACTAAGAAGGGAACTTATCTCATGAAAACTATGCTGAAAATGTAACAGTAAGTCTTCTTACTTTTCTGTATTAAAAAAGCTTCCAGAATTAAATATAAAGAGACACCCATACAATATCTATTGCACGTAAAACAGTAATTCTTTGTATTTGGTCATTCTGGACATGCCATCATATTTTACTCCTTCCTTGCAGGTGTACAGTATGTACCTACTGTATACATACTTAGTGTGTAGTATTCTACTGTCTTCTGAGTTCCCTTTACAATAAACAGAGCTGATTACCAAGACGATAAGTTTGCCTGCTTGTCCAAGATTTTAAATTTGAATCTCTGCTTCCGACTGGGTGCTAACCATCCTTTAAAGCATTGCAGAGCACTGACAGGTCAGTGTCAGTCAAAGACACACTCAGGTCCTCATTCTCCCTGACTAAACAGAGTCACTTAAAGTCTGGAAATTCCAGTTCAGGAATAAAACAATAAACAAAGCTATTTGGTAGTTCTAACATTAAAATAAAATAATTAAGTACAATACCTGAAAGCTATGATCATTATGCCTAAAATACAGTACATTAAAAATAAATTAACACATTTCTTTGCCACATATTTTCTTTAGTCAGGCATAAGTTAAATAATGTGTACTGCTTATCTAAGGCGTACATTACAGATGTAATTTAATAAAATCAAATGTTTCTGTCTGGGAAAATGTAGCTTACCATTTTTAACATGTTGCCGGCAGGTGGAGACACATTTCTTCTCAGTGTATTGTGTTCATTAACAATAAACTCCTGAACATTTTTGTTATGAGTTGAGATATCTGGAAACACATAATTTGCAGTTTGGAGTTTAATGTTTTAAAGGATCTTGTGTTCACATCTTTTCACACTTCTATAAAGTGATGGTGATGCTTTATAGTATTAAGTTGACCTTGTTATCACTTTACATATCCAATGCATTTTTTATCTACAGCTTCTAAAGTAAGTGCTGTTAAGCTTAGACACACATGATGTATGGCCTTGTTAAAGTACTAGACCATAATTTGGTTTCTAATCCTGCACTGGATACTTCTTCACCAAGCACA